TCTGGTGGCAGAGAGTGAGCATGTGCCTAGACCCAGATACAGAAGCATGTGGCCAGAACACTCCCCCCCAGCATTCTGCTGGGGTGGTGGCAGACTGGGGTGAGCTGCTGTGTTGGGCAGACAAAAGCCCTGGGTTCAAGGCCGGGGCCTGAAACTGTCAGTAAAATCAGCTGAATGTCACATTATTCCTTGTGGTTTTGAATATAATCATATCTGCTAATTATGGAGTTTGTATCTGCTTTACGGGCAGGACAAGGGGATGGTCTTTACATGGGTTGTTTTGTAGGATTCAGATTACACTGCCTTTCTAGTTCTGGAAAAGTCATGGAGCCAGGTCCTCAAGGAATCCATTTCTAAACACTTAGAAGAAAAGGTGATTAGTCAGCATGGATTCACCAAGGCCAAGTCATGCTTGCCAAACCTGATTGCCTTCTATTATGATATGACTGGCTGTGTAGAAGAGGGAAGTGCAGTAGACATGATATACCTCAGCTTTAGCAAGGCTTTTGATATGGTCTCCCACAACATTCTTACAAGCAAGCTAAAGAAGTATGGGTTGGATGAATGAACTGTAAAGTGGATAGAAAACTGGCTGGATCATTGGGCTCAGAGGGTAGTAATCAATGGCTCGATGTCTAGTTGCAGCTGGTATCAAGTGGAGTGCCCCAGGGGTTGGTCCTGGGGCTGGCTGTATTCAGGATCTTCATTAATGACATGGAAAATGGGATGAAGTACAGTACACCCTCAGCAGGTTTGCAGATGTCACTGTGCTGGGGGGAGTAGTAGATACACTGGAGGGAGTAGTGTTAGGATTCAGAGTGACCTAGACGGATTGGGCCAAAAGAAATCTCATGAGATTCAGTAAGGACGAGTGCAAACTCCTGCACTTAGGACAGAACTGTCCCATGAGCTGGTACAGACTGGGGACTGACTGGCTAAGCAGCAGCTCTGCAGAAAAGGTGCTGGGGGATTAAAGTGGGCAATAAGCTGAACATGAGCCAACAGTGCCATTGTTGTGAAGAAAGCTAACAGCATACTGGACTGCATTGGTGGGAGTGTTGCCAGCAGATCAAAGGAAGTGATTCTTCCTGTCTGTTCAGCACTAGTGAAGCCACATCTGGAGTACTGTGTCCCTCAGTGCACAAGTGTTGTAATCAAATTGGAGAGTCAAGAAGAGGGCAACCAAAATGATTAGGGGGTGGACCACATGACTTGGGAGGAAAGGCTGAGGGAACTGGACTTTTTAAGTCTGGACAAGAGAAGACTGAGGAGGGGTTTAATAGCAGCCTTCACCTACCTGAAGGTGGTTCCAAAGAGGATTGAGCGAGACTGTTCTCAGTAGTGGCAGATGAGAGGACAGACCAGTAGTCTCAAGTTGTAGTATGGGAAATTTAGGTTAGCGGTTAAGAAAAACTTTCTCACTAGGAGAGGGTAGTGAAGCACTGGAATAGGTTACCCAGAGGGGTTGTGAAATCTCCATCTTTGGAGATTTTGAAGACCTGGCTAGACCCTTGTCTGGGATGTTCTGTTTGGGTCCTGCTTTGAATAAGGGGCTGGACTAGATGACCTTCTGAGGTACCTTCCAACCCTAATTTTCTATTACTCTTTTCCCTTCTATCCCTTACACTCTGGCAGCCTCCCTCCTGGCATAATTATATTCTATTAAACACTTCATCTGGGAGCCAAAAAGTCAGGACTGGAATAGGGAAAGTTCTCCAGCCAATTCTTCCCCTCATGCTGATGCATTGCTCTGTCCCAGTTGCTTCACTTGAGAGACTAGCTAGACAGCCCCAATCTCAGACTATAGACAGATATTCTGTTTGAAGCACTTTGAACAGTGATGGTGTAGACATTTGTGACCAGAGTGCTTCAGAAATGGCCAGTGCGCTTCAGAAATGAGCTGCAGAAAAGAGGTCCATCTTTGAAGCACTTCATTATGAAATGAAGTGAAATGTCTTCTGGCATCCTGCAATATTGTGCTACTCTCTTACCATCTCATTGATTCTTCAGAATTTCCTGAGACTGAAGGCCAAGAGGCAAGCAGGTACTCCTGTTCTCCAAGTGTTTCAAATGCAAGTCTGTGCATATTCTTAGACAAGCACCCACAGGCAAACTAAGCACCTGATTCATGGCTACTCTAACGACTTTATTCTGGCCTTAGTTTTGGTTGTGGAGTAGACCCAGATGTTCCTGTGAATGCAGCTTATATGTAAAAAAAAAAAAAAAAAAAAACAAAAAAAAAAAAATCCTTTCTGCAGAATTTCAGAGGTTGTTGTGTATTCCAGTTCATAAGCTTCAATCTTCCAGGCCCATCACTTCTGTGTCATTTACTGTGACTGAACCAGAAGTCATAGTTATATTCTGTATTGGAACAATTGTATTATTTGTAGTCTTTTCTACTGTTGGAATCTGTCAAGTTTAGAGAAGTTTTTCAAAATGTCATGGGCTGGACCCAACGATCTGTGAGGTCCCTTCCAGCCCCTAACAATCTATGAATCTGTTCTGAGTATAAAATGCTTTAAACATTCAAATGAGAAGGAACAGTGGTGTAATGGACTGTGAACTTTATTATAATAATAAAGAGAGAGGTGGTACTATCACCTAACTTGGAGGTCTTCAGGAGGAGGCTAGATAGGCACCTGGCTGGGGTCATTTGACCTCGGTCCTCTGTCCTGTTTGGGGCAGGGGGTTGGACATGATGATCCTTTGTGGTCCCTTCCGACTCTACAATCTATGAATCTATGAATATTTCTGTTTTAACATAATGTTATGCATCTCAGTTTCTCTGACTAACTTATAAAAGTGGGAAAAGTTGGGGTTGTCTGGCAGACTGCTGTTCTACCTGGTAGAAGATGCATCCTTCCACAAAGAATTGAATATACTTGCTGAAATATTAACAGTGGAGTAGGAGGTGATGCCCAGGAGATTTCCAGGGAAACTGGAGGAAATAAGCATCACAATGGGCAGAGCAGCTGGAAGAAGGATGAATTGATGAGCTGGAGAATCTGGAGGGAGTCAAGAGAGCAAGTCGACTGCCAAGTTCATTTGAGGGCACTCTGAGATTGTGGGACTGGAGGGAGAACAGCTGAGCTAAATTTGGTGTTCTCAGAGTTGTGCAGGCTGGACTTGCACTTAATTGGAGAGGGCAGAGTGTTTTTGCTCTGGCCTTTGCCCCAATATCCATCTTTATTGAAGAGAAACTGTTTGCTTTGCTGCTTGCATTTGGGGTATACTCCTTTCCTCTAGTGGATAGGGGGTCAGGGACCAAAACGCCAGCATCTCAGAGTTGGGAGAAGTCCGGGCTAGCTTCAGGGCATACTTGGACAAGGTGGGGGAGGTCTGGAGTAACCATCCCTTGCGGGTATCTGTGACATGTAGCTCATAACTAATTTAATTCTAGTATTCTTTTTTTTTTTTTATGTTAGAAGTTGCTCAGTACAAACTCCGCAACTTCTGTAATATAACTGAATAGCAGGCATCCTCTATAAATTCTCTTAACAGTGAGAAAACGTCTGTTTTTTTCCCCCATAGCATATGCCTTGTGAGGTTCGTTATATCTTTAATTGAGTCCTTAATTGTCCCGGTATCAAGCACTCAAATGTCATTATGCTGTGACATGCTTCAGGGCTAGGTAAAAGTTGGGCCAAAAATATTTTAGGATAACTTTAGGAGATTATATTATTCTTTCTGTGTTTTCATTAAAAACTGTGTGAGAATTTTGAGCAGAGTTTTCTTATCTTGTAAGAAAAACATTGTATTCTTAATGAAAAAGGTTGTTGGGGAGCAAAAGAAGAAAAATACAGTATTGGCTTACTGAATGATTGGGGAGAATGATAAGATACCATTGCATAATTACTATGCAGGCAGAAGACAGAAAAAGCTTTCTGTACGGAAAATTAGAGGTGGATTGGAAAAAGCCAAAGAGCTCTGTTTAGATTTCTTAGTGATAGTTGTGAAAATGGCACAAGAAGTTAGGACGAGTTTCAAAGGATGCCAGTACGATATTTCTCTGTGTGTTTTGCACTTTGATAAGGTTTTTGTTTTGTTTTATTTTCTTGCAGTGGTGATTAATGTTGTGGGTTTCTTCTTTTAACGTGTTGGTTTCTTGGTGGTAGGATAGAAGGGAACACTTCCACAACCGAGGTGCTTCTGAATATGCGGATGTAGACTAGCAAGACTACACCAAAAAATCCATCTTCTGTCCTGTTTAGGACTCATGTTAGAACTCAATATCATCCTTGTTGCAACTTTAAATCCTGATTGAAAGAATTGTTGGCCCAATTATAATTTGGGAATATTATAAACAACAATATTTGTGTTCTCAGATGTTGTTTTAAAGGAAGGGGGGAAATTTGCTTGTGCCCTTTCATTTATTTTTTGCTCTCTAATGATGCAGAACTATCTAGGACCTGAATTTTTTAAAATTGTTTTGCTTTTTACTCTAAAATTCTGCTAGGAAAACCATATAGAGCTGAGACTAATGCAATGTGACCAGCAAACCGGAATAGTGATTTTTTTTTTTAAAGTACAGTTTAAACCTTCTTTTTAATATCAATTTAACTTCAGCTACTAAAGTTTTGAATAAAGGCAGCTTTGTTATAAATTTCACACCCTCCATTTTAGTTGAAATGTTAAGGTCCACAATAAGCGGCTTTACTACCTCTCAGGTATTTTCTTAAGAAACGAGGGAAAACGCAACTTGATAGTTCCACATTAAAAATAGACAAACAAAAAATCCTTTTTTTTTTTAAAAACCTATGCCTTTTAGACCTCCTTGTTGAATTTTAAGAAGAGGGTTTAAAATGCACACAACCCCTGCCCCCAGTATTGCAGGTCACAGTTAAAGACCAAGAAACTTGCCTTATTTGTGTGGGTACAACTTTGTGCTTACAGCTATTTGCATCTGTAAAAGCCTGTATAGGATTAGTTGAAAATCTTTCCCTTTAATGTTTCAAAACTCATATTATCTCCTTATATTTAATTGTTTTCTATATCTTTAGGTTGCTATGGAGTTGATGGAGAGAGTGATTCTATTATGAGTTCAGCTTCAGAAAACTCTACTGAACCTTGGTTTTGTGATGCCTGTAAATGTGGTGTCACACCTAGCTGTGAACTATGTCCTAACCAAGATGGAATCTTCAAGGAGACTGATGCTGGCAGGTAAGACGTTCGAAATGATAATCTGAATACTGAATACAAATTATCTTAAATGTGTAAGTTAAATGTGTTTAAAAGGTGATTCCCGGACCTATTCCTGTGTATTTCAGTAGGTGACAGGAATTTTGACCCTGGCACATGCTAAGTTTCTACCAGAAAAGTTGTTACTTTCCCACTAGAAGCTACAAGTTTACAAGTGTTCCGTTAATTTCTTCCAAGGGAAACACGACCTCTGTGGGCAGAAACATCTTCTAGGTGTTAACATAGATTTCTCTTGAAAGAGAAACCTATGAAACAATGTTTGTATGCTCCTCTCCCAACTTGGTTGGGGAGGGGAGTAGAACAGTGGGGCAAAAACCCTTGTCCTTGCTCAGACTGGGGAGTTGGTGAGGAGCTTTGGCTGCTCCACTTGCCTCTGAGACTGGCATGGGAGAGGAAGGGAACAGCTGCTTCTTGCCCCTTGTCTGCTCCTCAGATAGCGGTCCACATTCTGGGGAGCAGACATGGGTTTTGTCTACTGCTACCTCACTATGCTCCTGGTGACGAGAGTAGAGTGGAGGAGAAGCTGCTCCTTACTCCCCTCATCTGTTTCCCAGACTGGGCTGATCAGTCTGGAGAGCTAATGGGAATTTGCCTTGTTGCTTCATGTGGACACTGGTGGTTAGGTGGGCTGATGGTGTGCCCTCTGTCCCTGGTGGCCTCGGGTTCCCCTCTCGGGTACCCTTTTTTCCTATGAAATCCCTGCTTTCCTATTCTTTCTCTCCTTCAACTCTTCATTCTTGGGCATCATTAATTGGTTTTCCTGTGGTTGTCATACTGTTCACATTTTGTCCTGTTGGCATATTCCTTTATTCCAACATCCATCACGTGTACACATCTTAATTTGGTTATTTACCAGTCCTCCTAATTTGGTCTGGTCACCAAAGCCGGAAATCCCTAGGGCTCTGCAGTTTAGCACCGTGACCTGGCGCCAATATTACAGAGTCCTTTATCTCTGTTTGGGTACACATTGTTCATGTTATAGAACAGTGTGGTACATGTCATCAATTTCCCGGCCTGTGTATCTGCTGGTTTCAGACACAATGGGCCTTAAAAGAAACTGTCACAGAGAGGCTTTTAGAAATCAATTAACTCTTGCCATTTCCCTGGATCATTGTTTTAATGCAATTTTTACTTTACCTACAAGCCAGTTCCCAAAAGCAAATCTCTAAATAGTACTTTCTAGCTATCACTTCAGTCTCCTTCTGAAACATTTCTTGCACCTTTCTGGTCTGAGGGAATGGGTGCAGGTCTGTATGCATCCTTTCCTAGAAAGATTTTTAGTGATAGAAACTTCTCTGAAATTTCCACAGCCAGAAATAAACACCTCTTTGAGGGCATGGATGAAATTTCATTTGTTTATCTCTTCTTATTTTGATTTGGAAGAGAATTTGTATTGTCTAGTCTGACATTCAATTTTTGTGTACTCTTTTAACATCCTTCATGCCATATATATTAAGAAGGTGTTGACTTTGATGCATTTGAACATCAGGATTTATGGACCTGTGTGCTAAAGATTGACAGAGGTAACACAAAGACCAGTATTTCCCTAGGGGGTGATAAATCTTGATTACTAAAATAGGAAGTCATTATACAGAGAGATATTCTGAATGTCTTGATTGGATACGCTAGGAACTCTTTTCTTCATAGCCCTGAACTGCTTGCTTGATGCAACTCTTTTTTGTAAAAATCTAATATTCTAAAGGGGAAATGAAGTTAAAGGTTCAGAAAGAGATTTGCTCCTTTTTAAAAAGATGTATTTCAAGCTTTTCATCTGGGTTTACCACTAAGGCATCTGGAGTGAAGTTCACATTAAGATAAAAGCATTTCCCATGTACAGGAAGATAATATTAATGACTTAAAAAAGAAGCAAGTAAAAACTTTAAATGACAGAACAAGATTAAATGAAGATTAAGTGGCCAACTGTTGTTGAAAACAATGGACAAAATATAATGTTGCTTCATGAGCCTAGTCTTAGTTAATTTCTTGTGGCAAAGAAGTCCAAGGGAGAGGTCCTGCAAGTAACTTGGTTCCTTGAACCTCAGTCCTATAGTAATTAATATCAGCTATTTTTGGCAAACAGTTTTTATGGCAGGTTGGAGGGGTCTTTCAGTAGCTGAAATAAAGAGAAGTATTATCTGGATATTAACCAACACCTTGAATTTTACTTGCTAACCACAACAATGTATTTTGGAACCGTTTTTGTGCCCTGCCCATTCTGTTCTCCTCTCTAGTATTGTTGCTTTGTATGCATGGCAGCTTGATACTGAAGATCATGTTGACAGTTGACAAGCATATACCCTCATTTGAGGGATTGGTCAAAGATTTTATAATTTCTTCTGTGTATGACCTCAGTCTTTTCCAGACTGCTAGCTTTCATCCTCAACCTGATCTCTGCCAAATATCAAACATAGGAGGGCAAAGAAATATTTCAGTCTAAAAGTCTGAGGAGCAGGTAACTAAGTAAGCTGGGTACCATCAGCCTCTTGAAATATTGTATCTCTGTCTTCTCCCAGTGGCTTTACATGTTAAGTGCAGTAACAAAATTTAACTAAAGTTGGATCTTGATCCTGACAGTGTTCAGACAAGCATAGAAGTTTCTTGTCAGTACTCTCGAGTCTTTGACAGGAATGAGCAGAACCATTCTAAAATGATTCCTTCTATTCCCATCAGACTCCACTAATAGATTAAGACACTAAATGGTTATGGTAATGAATTTTTTCTTTAAAAAAATAGGATTAGTCTGACTTCTGTATAATGCCATTGGGATATCTTTCTCTGTATGCTTATACACATCTGAAACTTCTCATAGGCAAAAAAACAGGTAGGTTTTCATATTGCTGGGCATGTCATTAAATTTTCATCAAACTTCCTAGCAAAGATAGCCATTACAAATAGTTTGTCTGATGTTACATTACACAAGTTTCTGTCTTCAGTAAGGTAAATATAAGGTTAACAGTGGCACTGATAGTTTTAATTCTGGCAGGTGAAATTGTGCTAGTGTTTTGAGTTGGGCGTATTTTCTTCATTAGCCTTGGATATTACCCTCACAGATGTAGCTATTGGCTGAGCACTGTAGTTTGTGCTTGCAACGGCAAGTGAGCTGTTGGTAATATGCTGATGAGGCTTATAATGTGGAAACAACATTTAATTTACAGAAACTTATAATGAACTATTTTCCATAAGGAATTAACAGCCTTGTTACTGCCCCTGCAAGCACGTGGATCTAACCATGTGTGACAGAGAACATAAAAACGTAAGAAGTACCATACTGCTCCTGGGTCTACTGGTTGTCCATTTAGTCCAGTATCCCTTCTCCAACAATGGCAGCATGGATGTTATAGAGCATTGAGGCGGGGAGGAGGGGCACGTGTGTAATATGGCCTGCAGTCCAGATCTGGTCTACCAATTGATTCTTTGTAGCCTGCTGCGGGTTCCTTGGCCCCATCTGGCCCAGGCTTGGGGAGGGCAGCCCAGCCATGGCACATGCGGGTAGTCCCATTGGCCCCCCGGTGCAGAATGCATCCTGCCCTATCCTTGCATGTGGTTCTTGGGCATGCCAGGAACTGTATTCTGCAGGGCTGGACAGTGGGGTGGCACGGTGGCTAGACTTAGTTTCTTGGTAGACCCTGTGCCAGCAGTTTGTTCTGCCCTCACACTTCTGGCTGCTGCTGCCAGGCTCTCCCCCAACCCCAGCCCCGGACCTGCTGTCCATACACCCCACACCTATCGTGGGTGAGTAGGGTCTCCATGGAGACCAGCCTGGGACTCCCAGGGGTAGGGTGTGCTCATCCAGGTGAATGGAATGGGGCTACAGGCGGGCAGAGAGTGGCGTCTGGGAGTTGGAGGGGTGAGTGGGGCCAGGGTCGGGGCTGGGATTATAGGGTGGTGACAGCATAGTGCCGGAGACCCATGACAGAACTGCGATCTGCTCCCTGTACATCCCTGTGATGGAGTCTGGTTCCATGGGCAGGCTGCTGCCCATGGAACCAATGCCCATCTCGGGGATGTGGGTGGAGCAGGTCATGGCTCTGCCCCAGCCCTGGCCCTGCCTCCTGCCCTAGTCCTGTATACTGCTCCCTGCCTGCTTGTGGTCCCATCCCATCTACCTGACTGAGGGCTCCCTGCCCACAGGGGTCCCAGACTGGTCTCTGTGGAGACCTCTCACACCCACCCATTCCAACTGGGGTGCTGGGTGCAGGGCTGATAAGCCTGGGGCTGGGATCAGTTGACATCTCTTTGCTCCCCCCAGGTGGTGTAAACAGCTGTGATAGAGGGCCAAGGTCAGGTCATTATTCTGCCCCCCCCCCCAGCAACTTACCAAAACTCCTTAAGTGGCTCTCTAGCCCAAATAATTCCCTCTCCTCCCCTGCCCCCACTGTAGAGTAGAGCAAGGATGCTCAACCTCCAGCTTTCAAGCCAGATCCAACCTGTAGTGTAGTGTCATCAGGGCCACAGGGCTCCCCAGAGGTCCATAAATTTGGCAGAAAGAGAGTAGCGGCACCCATGCTCTGCTGCCCGATCTTTGGATCTGTGAGGAGCCCCAGGTTCTCTGCTCTGGATCCGGCACGCAATCCCAGCGTGCATGGCCAAGTGAGGACAGTGATGTTCTCAGGACCCAGTCCCAATGTGGGGACTGGCAGTGGGTAGTTGGTGGCATCAAGCATCCTGGACTCAATCCCAGTGGGAGGGGATATTACCAGCCCCCTAAAACCCAATCACATAGCTTAGGGCATTGAAGGGGGTGGTACAACTCCCAGGGACCCAGTCCTTGCATGGGAGTGAGTGGTACAGTCTCCCCCCGGGACCTAATCCCAGTATGGGAGGGGGTGTTACTGGCCCCCCAGGACCTAATACTGGGGCAGGAGGGGGCAGTATTTGAAACCCAGGACCCAATCCTGGTGCAGGAGGGGGCAGTATCAGTTCCCCAGAAACCTATCCTCTCTGGGCCCCAGTCCTGGTGT